TGAATCAGATGAGAATGGAAACACAACATAGCAAAATCTTTAGGACAGAGCAAAAACAGTGATCAGAGAGCAATTTACAGCAAGAAATGCACACACCCAAAAAAAAGAGTAAGCCAAAATCAACGCCCTAACTCAGCATGTCCAACAATTAGAAAAAGAGCAGCAAACAAGCCTACAGTCACCAAAAGAAAAGAAATAAAAAAGATTCAAGCAGAATAAATGAAACAGAAAACCTAGAAAGTATCAACAAGATGAGAAGTTGGTTCTTTGAAAAGGTTAATAAAATTGACAAGGTAAGGAAAAAATGAAACTATCTCCACTTGCAGAAGACTGGCAAACTTAACAAAGGAAGAGAACGGAAAGATGCACATAACATGAATAAGAAATGAAATGAATGGCCTCACAACAGAACCAACTGAAATAAAAATAATAATATCAGGATACTACAAAGAACTGTACTCCAGCAAATCTGAAAACCTACAAAAAACAGATTTCTAGAAACACACTACCTGAATTAACACAGACTAAGGTAGAAAATTGGAACTGACCCATAACAAAAGAAAAAACTGAACAGGTCATAAAAAAAAACTACTAACAAGAAAAAGTCCCAGCCCTAACAGCTCTACTGGAGAATTCTACCAAACATTCAGAGAAGAACTGACACCAATCCTACTCAAACTATTCCAGAACAAAGAAAAGGATAGAATCCTCTCAAATTCATTTTATGAAGCAAGCATCACCCTGATACCAAAACCAGGCAAAGACAACACTAGAAAGGGAAACTACAGACCAATATCCCTCATGGATACAGACGCAAACATCTTCAACAGAATCCTAGCCAGTAGACGCTAACAGCATATCCAAAAAATAATAAATCATGACCAAGTGGAGTTCATACCAGGTATGCAGGATGGTTCAACATTAGAAAAACCACCAACATAATCCATCACATAAATACAATAAAGGGAAAGAACCACATGATCATATTAATCAATGCAGAAAAGGCATTTGATAAAATCCAACACTGATTTCTGATAAAAACTCTCAGAAAAATAGGAACAGAAGGGACATTCCTCAACATAATAAAGGGCATACATGCAAAACTAACAGCCAACATTATTCTCAATGGAAAGACAATGAAACCATTCCCCTTGCGAACAGGAACCAGACAAGGATGCCCTCTATCTCCACTTCTATTCAACATTGTACTGGAAGTCCTAGCCAGGGCAATAAGGCAAGAAAAGGAAATCAAAGGCATCCAAATTGGTAAGGAAGAAGTCACACTATCCATATTCGCTGATGATATGATCCTATAC